ATCGAACAAATTTAGTTACACTGTATGCCCATGGAGTGAAAAACATATCCTTCGCCTCGAATCGTTTAAAAAGATTGAATCCCATGCCGGGTTATCAGAAGAACCCATGCGTATTGTCTTGTGCCAGTGACTACAAATAGAGCAAGATTATCATAAAACTCAAAAGCAGATTGTCGAATCACATCACATTTATCAGAACAAAATCCAGGCTCTGAGAGTAAAAGCCTAAAACTTCAACCGTTTAATAATTGACAACTTGGTGTGATGTAAGATTCATCAGGAAAGCTTGCTTACTTGCTTTCACTGTGTAACGCACCAATGGTGACCAGTTTCAAAATAAAGAATACTNTTAGACCGGTCACGGGTGTAGCTCATGTATGGTATTAATAGTGACTGTGAAGGATTCCGTGTAGTTGTCGATCGTCGACCCTGTTTAATATCTTCCTCAAATTGTGTGTAAGTTGTCCTGTCAGATAATGACCGGTTGAAAGGAAGAAACACATTCCGAGAATAACAAGTTTCTGGTTGTTTGCATTGGCAGAGCAATATATAAGAGACCGTATCTGATCGTTCCTATGTATCAACCACTGAAACTCTGGTGACAAGGGAGTAGAAATCTAATAAATCATTGTCAACGGTCTGTTAAAAATGTTTCAAGAGAAAACTATGTGCTTGTCCACAGAAGAAAACTGGTTGAGTACAGGCTGTCCATGAATCATTCGAAATTGACGATATGCTATCTTGCGATGAAAACATTTCCCTTTATCTGTCAACTGAATACTAATGATTTCATTTGCAATTCCCTGAAGGTCTTACTGCTGCACTGCCTGTCATCTGATTGATTTTGGTTCATCTACTTCATGTGACCTCCTGATAGACTGTGCACTTTTGTTTTGAAGGAGACAAAAGTATTCTTAATGCAAAATAGCTCACCACTGAAAATAAATTTGAATTTTCTTCTGATTTCTTCAGAAATCTATCATCTCGCTAGACCAATTTCACATTTCCGAACAGCAACGGACGAGCAATACGTCTTATAATATTAACTCTTACTCACAGTTAATAGCTGGTTGGCTCAATAAACAATCGTGCCCTGGCTCAAATCTCAGTGAATCTGATCGATGTGCAGTACTGATGATTCTTAATAAGGATACGTCAGGTGGGCAGTTCTTCTGAGGCAAATGAATTTGACATAACAAATGCACCTGGGTAAATAATAATTCCGCCGAAAGCAATAATAATGATGACTAAATGAGTAGTCTCTGAGCAACTTCAGTGTGTTGCTCACCACTAGAGATCTGTATAAGCGCTACTTCGCTGTCATAAAGCTTCTCGGGAGTCATCGGAAGTTGGTATTCGCCAAATCCACAGAGATTCGATCCCTGGCACGACTGTCTGTTACCCCAGAGATTAATTAGTTGATCATTCTTATTTGAAAGCCAGCATATTGCACCCCATAAATGCAATGCCTAAGGGAAGTGTTTACAAGACAATTCTTTCTCGAGCACTCATGAATAGCATCCAGAACTAAAGTTCGACTGAGTATTGGATAATTTCATATTCATCCGGAAAAGTTGAAAAAGCTTTAGCCCACTGAGCTTCCGTCCCGAAAACATAGGACACATCCACTGTTCAGCTGTTTCGGGCAGTCAACATCAGTTACGGACAAGTGGTTGTGCAGTGCACATCGATTGATGGGGCTCGACATGACATACAAAGATAAACTTCTAACACGAATTTCAGTCACTTTAACTGTTCACCTTTCATGATTGGGCGATAGAAATCATATCCGTCCAGTGGTGTACGGGTAACAAGAACGTTTTGTTATGCACTGGCAGCGATTGGCGAGCACATTCATGTTTACTTATATTGTGTCGTGGCAGAAATAACACGCAATTAAAGACGAGTTAATTGGTAGAAATGTAATTATCTAATCCAGAAGACAAATAAAAAGTTATTGCGGATCACCAGAAGTTGATTCCCATAAGCACTGTATGCATTTGTTTGATCCTGAGGTTTTTATTCACAACTCTTCGTAGATTTGTCAGTGCCATTTTATAAATACTGCTCAATATCTCTAGAGACCAAAGATGCTATGATTCTTGAAATTTCACTGTTCTTTAGTAGTGGTATTCAGCTTACTTGATGATCGGTGGATGCCATAATCTTCTGTACGTTGGATNGGATGGGTAATTCTAATTTGAAAAGATCAGTGCTATCCGTGTGGTCTCGTAGCTAAGCTGGTGGAGCCTGCGCATACAAAGCGTAGACAACGTCCATGCGTGGGTTCGAGTCCCACCGAGGCTCCTGAACTTTCCACAATCTCAATATAAGACTTCAATCTCCCAAACAACAACATGAACAGATATAAAATTAGCTTGAAGTTCTTTATTCCCGTGTACACCCCACTCACCACCCTTACAAAATTGGTCTACGTGTAATCAGTAGGGATGAACACATATTCATCCCTAAACCTTTCAGTACCTGAAAACTTCTCATTCGGATCTCATTTTGTCCATGGAACTCAACCAGATCATCATCCTAAAACTATTTAAAGTGGTTATCGGTGGCAAAGGAAGGTTATCTGTCACTAGTCACCATTTCGAAAGTTTGCTCCAATCATTTCAACACAGTATTTCCTTATAATCCGCCAATTACTCATTCCAGAGCGTTGTTCCAATAAAACTGGTACCCGAGGAGGAAAAGAGCAAATTTTTTCCAGTTTTATCTTCATCAACCTTTTAAGTGCATTGTCATTTGTGCGATCAGGTACCATGCAAATCCCGATTTCTTGTTTTTCTTCCTTGCATATCAAGAACGGCTCGCCACGAGGTATTCCGTAGAATGCTTGATCTACTTTATTACCCTAATCATTTTTCAGAAATACACCTTGATTTCTACTTATTTTCTTCACCAAAAAGTACGCCTTATTCCCCTCTCCCCAACAAAACCTTCCTTCTCTGCATTCCAGATCGTTATAATATTCTTTTAATTACGCATTTGGCCGGACAACTAATTTAACGAATGATGTCCACAACCCCGTTTAAGAAGATCGTGAACTTTCCCACCGATTCAGTTGATACAGAAATATGAGGACTGAGAAGGATGTTCACGGATACACAGAAATGATCATTATATTCTCTCAAAATATTCTTTACCGGTGTTCATGCATAGTTCCATGCACTCAAATCATTGGGTGAAACAACTGGATTATACCGAAGCGGATAACCCTTCGAGTAGTTCAACGAAGGCCTCTGCTGTAGTTGGTGGTGACTCGTATCGGATTCGATTCACCATGTGCTTGACATTTCGAAACACAAACTAGTCACACGGAGTCAAATCTGGACTGTAAGGGTGTGGTGACTGAACGCTGGATGTGGTCTTGCCACAAAATCGTCGTCTACATGGGACATGTGTATAGATGCGTTGTAGTGAGGCAGCAAGGTCCTTCGTGCTCGAGTCTTTTGGCAACACCTAGCAACAGCTTTCAGCACTTTCGGTAGACAGTAGGTAGCGAAATAGTCTCTGGTGGCTGCGCTTTGCTTTACGAGCGGTACAGTAGCTGCATGACCACTTTCGGTCAATAACACAGCCCTTGTCTGCTTTCCCACGCTGCGCTTGCGCCGGAATAACTGAGGCGGCACCTGCGCTCACTGAGCCGACTTTTGCTTCTTCTGGGTCTTTCCAATGCAGTTTGGTAGACCACAAGTGGTGATGAGATCTCAGATTCGACTCATCACCACTAGTGGTCTCCCAGACTGCATTGGAAAGACCACCATCAAACCTAGTGAGCACGGTGCGGCATCGATTTGCCTGATGTGTTTTCTGTTCTTCATTTAGCTAATGGAGTACCCAGCCTGAACAAACTTTCTGAGACCGAGCTTCTCATGTACGACGGTGCGGTATGATTCCACTACGATCTTTATGGCTTTTGTCAGCCCTACCACTGTCAGCCGTGCACCCTCCACCATTATCGCGTGTTCGGCCCTCGTACTTCAAGAGTCATTCTCGTTCCAAATCGAGTTTCTCCTTCAAGTACCCTGAAAATATTTGCTGTCTACCCATAAACGTCAGCTCCGAAGATGGTCCGCGAGAGCGGCATATTACATTTGTTGCAGAAAAGACCAAGTCACTGAGTTTGTTCATAAATGCGTAGAACAGAGTGAAATTTCATACAATGTCGACCACATATTATGGCTTTCATTTGGCCACCTTTACCTCGAATCTTGGTGAACAATTCCATCACAGAACAAACCTAGCGCTTTATCTGCCTCTCTTAACTGTTTTGACAAAACTTAGACCGGTAAAAGTCAGTAGTATGTCCTAGACTAACACTCATCTCTCGTGTTTGAGACGAACCCCGGACAGAATTTCAAAGTTGAATCCGGTTCGCCTAATTTGTCAATAAATTACTTTTTCCAGCCATGACTTTTGCCTGGCTTCATTAATTCTTTCTTTAGTCAGCCGGTCATGAAATGTGATTTTATTACTTTCGTTGACTTAAATATAAAGTTTCCGTGAATAGCCACCTTTACTCTCGTGTAAAGTTCAATCAATTTTTTTTCTCCTGTACCTCATCCTTTTCTATGCTGTATCTCTATGTCTGTTCCCCGTAAACTGACTTCTACTCATACGGGAACATTCCGGAAGCCAGTATCACCTTATCTAGTTGAGTGCTCGTTTCTGCTCAGAACAGTTTTAACAGACAATAAAATAAATGTTAAAAATTGTATACATTTTCTTGACGTTCTACGGAGCGTTTAATTTTTCCCATGCATTTTTCGGTGTTTTGGGCCAAAACATTAGAACTACTAGCTGAAAATTTGCCCCACTGTAGCACATTTTTGACTTGGGTTGATACGATACTATGAAGATAAATGAATCTAGTGTGTGATCTCCAGGGACAAAAAACGACTGTAGCATTATTCAAAACTCTCGAAAGCGGATTTGTTCATAAGGAATGGGCAAATTAGCTATTGGCATCAGATTAAGTCACCAGATCGTGGATAGATAGCAAAATGACCACAGTCAATAATGAGCATGAATGAGCAAAACGATGAATTAGAAATTATTCTTGTGGAAATCCCAAACTTATATGAGCGACGTTTCATTCATGCATTCTAAACCGGATCATTGGTTGTCTAAGAACATGCAGCCGGATTTCGGGAACACGTCCTTGTAGACAAAGCTCCGTCTGATAACTCAACCTTTAAAACCATGAGAGAGACCATCTGATCTTAATTGTTGTCTATCCATTTGTTCTTTAGTGAATATTCAGAAATGAAAGTTTGACCCAGGTTAGTATTCGTAATTCAGGATTTCAAATTGCACCCATGATCAACAGTGTCGTTTAGTCGCTTCCTTGTTATCTGCGAATAGTGACCAGTGAGCAACGCTCATATTTTCAGTTTCACCCTTACGCGGACTGCATTATAGTGGTCTGCGTAGCTATGAATTTAAGTGAGACCAACTGGGAATAAGGATAGTTTTCTTCGCTCAACCGGAACGGAAGAACGTTGTGTAATGAAATATAGCTTTGTTGATAGATTTGGGTGATTACTTTTTAGTGGACAGGTTAAACCATTCTTACTTCGAAAGATGGAGAGGTAAATGAACAAATTGGAACGTGTAGGATAACTTGGATGACGAAATAATCGATATTCACAACCGGGTCGGTTGCTGATTGGTCGGAAAAATAATAGTCGAACAGGTGTGTATCGCAAATTGTGGACGGTCAATCAAATGCCTATTTGAGTGGCTTGTCATACGTGTGAAAAAATGTCCCAACTATTCAATCTTGCTATTCTGCAGCTGGCACCGAACGACACATTGCTTCAAATGTACACCATTCATTTAGAAGTTTGCAAATAGTGTGGATATTGCTCCAGTTGTAGCCACTGGACGTCGCTTGATCAGAAAAACCAGGAATGGAGGCATCGTCTGAATCTTTACTGCAATTAATTTCGAACACCTTTGATATGTTTCTACGTTAATAAACAAAAAATACAATATTGAGGGAGGATGGTCCCTCGGTAGAAATTGAAAACGTTTTGTGGTTTAATTGGATTTCAGACAAGCAATCTGTTGATTAGAAAAGAAATGTAAAAACTGGTAATCTGTTCCCATCAACCCCTGTAAATAGTAAGTAGGGAGTTGATTTAACAAACACTGCATTCCCGATTTAAAATTTTTCTGGGGTGTTTCCGTAATCACATGATTAAATCGTTCGTATTTTTTCCATTAGTATGTTTGTATTTGATTACTCACTGTCTAGTTCGCACATGATCATATCCGAATTCAAGGTCGGAAACTCCTTTAAAACAAGAAATAAATACCGAGAGATAATTACACATTTTGGTGTTTGCTTGCTTCTTGTGTGTAGACTAGTCATTGTGAGGTGCCTTCAGTTTGAGAAATGTATAGAAACCAGTATTGTTATGCAGTTATATCTCGTTATCTGATGTGAATGATGCTCTGGTTCTCAGGCACCCCTGGCATTATTGCGGGTAGGTTATGATACTAACAAAGTGAGCTGAAACAAATGGAGAGAAAGAAGGCATAACCGAAGGGACTTTTGTGCGGTTTAACTTGACCAGCTGTGTGCGCGTTGAAACAACAAGACAGTCATCCCCCCCTCCCACACACTCACACACCTACAGTGGTGTTAATCGAGAAAATGATCGATTGACGAAGATCGGGAACAGAGCGGATCCAAAAGGCAATCGGGACAAATATCCTATATGTAGTCCCATGCTGATGGACGAATGCAATTACAGTAATAGTGGGTTACATGATTCATGCTCGATCAGACCAACTGTGCACTGAATTTCCACTCGAACGGACGTGTAAAAGTCGTGTGTGTGTGTTTGTGAAGACATAACCACCAGCCGATCACTAACCAAGATAACTGAAAATATCATTTGATTGTATCTTGGCCTTAATTACTAATCAACTCAAAGGAATTATTTTCCTCAATTACCAGCACCTTAATCGAGATTCAGTGTTCGCCAGGACGGGCACACTTGGTCTTACTTTGAAAAAGATAATTCTGATGATTACTACCCTATGTACAATCTAACTGTCTTATCCCCAAAAAGTGATTGTACGATTCCCAAGATTCTGGATTCACACACGTATGTAAATCTTTCGCTTATTTTGCTCTTGTCATATACATACGGTAACGTTCTACCCCGTTAAGTTTGTCTGGTGTATCATTTGAACATCGCAATCAGAAGCCGTCACAGTTCACACCGGGTTCCTATCTGATTGATGTATGGCTTTCCTATCAAGTGAAACGAATTTTGACATGTGGCATGAAAATAGAGAGATATGGATGAATAATCGATGCGAATGCTGAATTTGTTTCCTAGATAAAGCAATGGCGATTGGACTGATAGGGTTTCAGTAATATCACTCTGATAATTCAGTATTCAGGTCCGACAAGTGTCGCCACATATGTCTCCTTCTTTTTTTCCTCAGGTGGTTTTGGATTTCTGTGATTTAAAAAGTAAAATAAAGTAAACACTTGATCGTCATCTTCATTTGCATCACTGACATTACTATTGGTATGATAATTTGAAAGTCAATTGGTAAGGCCTACTTTTTCACCATTTGTAAGAGCGGGTCCGAGTTGAGAATGCATTAGAGTGTGTACGGATTCTCGATTTGACAACAATACACAGAAAATAGACAAAAAACGGGAACTGATAAATAAACGAGACTTTTCTGTGGTCGGGGTACATTATCGGAAAGAAAAACAATCTTCTAGTCACATCGGTATCCATTATTAACGGTTTACAGCATTAATTCAATCAAATAAACCATCAGAAGGAGAAACAAACTGAGGAGTATTTACAAATTGTTTTTGAACAATTCTTAGTAAGTTCAAATTCCCTTGTTCTACTGAAATACTTAGCAACAGAAACCTTGTTAAGCATCACCACGCAGAACATGGAAGGAAAGGCACTTAAATTCTACCACTGAGATCGTCATTGGAAAAGTTACCATTAGAGAATTCCAAATGAATCACCAACTTGATTAATCAGCTAAAGTGATTAATTCTTTATGATGGAGCCATCATTTTATGCTCGAGAGATATAGCAATAGCACCGTGTTGACAAGCGATATATTTTTTAGATAAGTGAATACTTACCGTTCTTGTTGGATAGTTTCGGGGACAGATGTACAATGAACACGACATTAGGATAGTACATTTTCTGTGGGTTTAAGTGTACCACACTCCTGTTCCGTCTGCATCGTTTCCCACCTGTCGATATCATTCGGTCAACCAAGGAATTAAGGCCAGCTTTCGTGCATATTCAACACCCAGTTGCTGTACACCCATTTCAGTGGACGTTCTGAACCCCGCAAGCCACATTCCTGCTTCATGTGCAATAGAGATTATTCGTTGGAGACTCCCGCTCCCCACAGAATGTCATCTTCCGCCAGATAATCGATGCCATGTATCGAGTGTGATTGAAGGTCACGAAAGTCAGACCATCTGATTACATCTTGATACACCTTGGAGTTCGCGAGCGCCGC